ACACACACACACTGTTACACACATAAACACACAATCCTGCATCCCAGCATGAAAGAACTGCAGCTTAATGCACATGTGCACACAATATTTCAGTCTCTCAGTATCACTCACAATGAATCTATATACAAAGTAAGTCAGCAAAATGCAACTATCATCCCTGTTCTTCTGGTGCAACCCAGCGTTTTTCCACTTCAAGCAGCTCCAGAGAACTCCGGAGACTTGGTTGTTTGGACTTGGCCCTGAGTGGACCAGTGCACGGAGCATCGGTGTGGAATGATGTGGAAGGCCAAACAGGGGATTGTGGGTGCTGGGTATCCATTACATCAGAGGGGACCAAGGCGCCAGTTTGCCATTTGAGACGTGACACCGCCCTGTCCTTGCACTTTATCCTGTTAACTGGCAAGATGTGCTGAAAGTTACACAGGCCCTGTGGGTGGAACAGGCTAATACCAAACACTTAGAAATTTTAATTATAAGGTAGTGTGTGTAGTATATAAGAATATAATTGATTGATTTATGTTTTAATAATAAAAATAGCACATTTTCCCCAAAATATTTTAGATTTAAAACTTTAAATTTAGATGGCGACACACTCGTTAACACAACAAATGACTCTTCATTTAAAAAGGACTATATGTAAAAACACCCTAATAACACAAATGAGCATTTGTTTTACACAAATGAAATGAAAATAAACATCTTCATCATCAAAATTATAACTACAACATGATTCATAAAAAACAGTGATTTTATTTTGAATCCTGTTCTGTATTCAGTAACTGCTGTTACTGATAAAAAAAAATCCACTCGATCTCCTTCACCTAAAGGTGCAACAAAAATGGGCCTTGCTACCAGTTCACTACACATCTTTAGAACCTGCTATCACTCCCAGTTGATAGATTTTTTTAAATGTTTACATCAATAATATTTCTAACCACCAGTTTTCAATTATAAGTTCAAAACCCTGAACATGTATGTGAATATTACAGATTGAGCCTATGTGTGTTTCTATAGGCCCCAGACCTTTTACAGACAGGCCTCAATGTAAATAGCGGGCCTCCTTTAAGTTCTTGAAAAGGTTCAAGGGGTTTCCTATGTAAAAAAAAATAATTCATTAAGGAATCCATCTTCTAAAAAGGAACGAATACTTTTTGAGCAAAACGCTATTTACACTTCTGCATTTTACTGGAGACACATCCACTGTCCCTTGGGGTCCTCCCTTTAGGAACCAGCATGTTAGCTCAGCACCAGTGTCTCCTCCCAGCATGAGGTAACGCCCTCTCTCGCCATGGAGATAAAAACTCTGCTCCGTTCATGAACTCATCTCTAAATCGTGCGTCCGTCCACCCTGTTCATTCCTGTCCAGCCTAAGCTTCCTGCTCCCATGTTTTGAGCCCGCTCCAGTCGGAGACAGTTCACCATGTCCACCGGGTCTCTCAGCGATGTCGACGACGAGCTCCTGGACGGCATCCTGAAGTTTGGCTCTTCCGGTAAAGACTCCAACGAGAGCACAGAGGAGAGCTCCAACTGCGAGGGCACTTGCGCAAATGACGCGCCGGGCAAGAAACGGAAGACAGCGTCCCGGAAAACGGCACCCAAGGGTGTGGCACAGCAGGAGGGCAAGCACGTGCAGAGGAACGCGGCCAACGCACGGGAGAGAGCCAGGATGCGTGTCCTGTCCAAAGCCTTCTCCCGGCTGAAGACTACCTTACCCTGGGTACCACCGGACACCAAGCTCTCCAAACTGGACACACTGCGCCTGGCGTCCAGCTACATCGCGCACCTCCGGCAGATACTGGCCAACGACAAATATGAAAACGGATTTATCCACCCTGTTAACCTGGTGAGACTGGGGTATGGGGGGTATTTAAAAATCAGACTAAGGGAAAGTTAAAGTGAGGTTTAAAAGGTAGGCCTAAACTCTGAAAGGTAGGTTGAACTGAATTTAGTTAAAACCATAATGCTGGTTAGGTTTGTTTGCCTAATAATATTAACTTAATGAGTGATTATGTTTTATTTAAGGCTACACCACTGGGATGTATATATATATATATATAT